CCCGTCATAACTCAGCCACTGGCCTAAAAATATCTGACTCTTTATTATGTTTTTAGGCAGGAGTAAGTGAAATATTTGGGGATTTTTTTTTTCTGTTTTGAAAGAATCTGCATTTCATGTAGTTTTGAATATTTCCGGCACAGAGAACAACACCCCCCCCCCCTTCTCTTTCTATTGGCGTCAGGCTATTGTGCCTTTTGATTTTAATTATATTATGAAAAAAGCCCTCAAAATATCACCAACGTTCCCATTTTTAATACTTTTTTTTTTTTTTTCTCAGACCAACAGTAAAGCCTTCACAGCCAAGACATCCTGTGTGCGGCGGCGGTACAGTGAGTTTGTGTGGCTCAAGAAGAAGCTGCAGAAGAACGCTGGTTTGGTGTAAGTCAGCTGGTCCAGTTTTGTTCTGTTCTTTGGTCCTCATAGAGATTCAAGATTCAAGAGCTTTATTGTCAATACAGAAGTATATACAGTGTACCGAAATTCACCCCAAGCCTCCACGGTGCATTTATTAGTATATAAAAGATATATCTCCAAGAGATATAAAACTAGACATTATAAAATAAATAACGTGCTAAATTTCAGTACAATTAAGGGATTAAAAAGGTACTAATTACTAACTATACAATACTATAATGATAACTATACAATATTAACTGTACGATAAACAAAGACAGGACAGGGACAATACAAAGTGGATTGTGCAGTGGTATTGAATACCAGGTTCAAGTTATTGTCAGGATATTATAGACGAGATATGACAAAGATGGAGATGAAAGCAGGTCGCCACCCAGGGTTTATTAATCCCAAAATAACAATCAGGAAAAGACTTTTAAGCATCCTGGATTTCCAGAATGCTTAAAATAAGAATATTTGTGTTGTTTCTTTTAAAGTGCTTTACACAACAGAGTCAGTTAACCCCCACCCCCCCTTCTCTATAACAAGATGTACAAACCTTATTTAGAGAAATGGACATGGAATCAACGTGGACGACTTATTTGGGACTTTAAAAAAAAAAAAAGTCTGGAGAAACAAAAAGCAACAACAATTAAACATTTTGTGTAAATGTCTGTTAGTGATCTAAGGCTGTCTTTTACAAAGATGAATTGTGTCTCATCTAGTAGAGGGATGCCTGAAACAAGACTCCATTTAGCTCTGTGAAGCATGTTCCTCCTTTCCTCCGACTGTACACTCACTGGATTTGCATGTGTTAACTGGTGATTCTGATTAGAGGGTTAGGCCTGTGATAGACTGGAGTCCTATCCGGGTTGTACCTGCCTATTTCTCTGTGATAGCCGGATACGCTTCAGCCCACGTTAGTGGTTAAACGGTTAAGAAAATAAATGGATGTACATTAGCTGCTCTGTGTGGAGCATTTAGCAGCTAAGAGCCAGATATTTACTGAAACAAAATTAAAACGGGACTGAACAGGAAACTCATCTGCTTTAACGTGATTCTACTCTGCTCATTTCCAGCTCCATGTTTTTATTGTTGGACTTTATGAGATAAGCTTTGTGTGATTCACAGATATGTCTGAAAGATCCTTTAATCTCAGGTTTCTTCAGTGATGACACACAGAACCAACCAGAAAAAAAAGTGCGACTGAGTGCTTTGGTTCACTGGGATTGCTTATAGAAACAGTGACCTCAAATATGAGGATGCACCTCTGGAGCAGTGTTTCTATGCCAGATTTAACATAATTATCTCCACAGACATGGATAATTATTATTATTTGTCCTTACAGACCAGTTCCAGATCTTCCAGGGAAATCCTTCTTCTCCTTCAACAATGAGGACTTTTTGGAGAAGAGAAGAAAGGGACTTCAGATTTTCTTGGACAAGTCAGTTCTCCTTCTTCTAAAATCAGTATTTGATCGTCTAAACAAGCATTTTCTAATCTCGTTTTACCTCTGTCATTTTTTTTCTTTTTGTTTTTT